AAACTAAAATAAACAAAATTTGTTTAGGGAAACTATAGAATTCCGTATTATCAAGGACGGATTACTATGGAACATTTTGAAATTTTTAATAGAAATTATAAAAGTCAGTTGTTTGCACTGAGCTCTTTTGCTAATACGTGGTAAATTTTAGGCAAGCCGGTGGGAATAGAGTTTTATGAACGCGAATCGCTACTGGTGGCTGCAGAATTCCGCACACACTACGAATTTGACTTCGGAGTTTTACACTAGGCAACAATAAGTACGCCAAAACACGAACTAATCGTCTTTCGGTCTTTGTGAAAAAGTAGGTAATCTGCTCTCCTTCAGTTTCATTTTGATTGCCTCTCCCGATCGGAAACTTTGATATTTCAAATAGGAACAATGTTGATTTAAATTCAAATTAGAAAGATGTAGTAGGTATCAGGTTTATCTTCTCGCTCGGAAACCCATTCGATTTCGAGATTCAGATGGGCTTCCCGATCTATAATCTAATGGAAATGAAACTAATTTTTCCCCTCTATCCACGGATGGTTTGTATTAATATTAGAGGTAACTGGTTGATGATTTTATCATCTCAGTCAATATCGTATAAGTTCATAAATATTGTTAAAATAAAATATTTTGCAAAACGCATATGAATTGGAATGTTCTGTGGTAAATTATAAATCATAAGGTAGGTATGTAAATTAATAACTTTTGTAACTATATATAGCAATTAATACAAAGATTAAACACTAAGAAAACATTCCTTCGATCCGGTTGGATTCGAGCCAACGTCTTCTAGCAAACCGTGCCAGACGCTATGCCAACTAAGCTTTTATAAGTCTATTCTCAGAATGGGTGGTTTGCAATAAGGAGCAATTATTTTAATGGTTGATTTTGCCATTCTCCAATTCAAGGCGTTTTTCTCTCTCAATATTGAGTAGTGAGAACCGATTTTTATTATCTCCTGTGTCAAGTCCCGTATAGTGGCGAACTAGGGGATGAACCCGGATTTGCGCACTTTCCGGTATATGTACTTACTTACTTGGTACTTGGTGCAACGGGCTGGTATCCGCAACTCGACGACAAAGCGCCTATTTTGCGTGTGGTGGGTGCAGGGTCCTACTCGTGCCACCCTATATGTAATTAATTATTAATCCGGTATATGTAATTCCACGTACTATTGAGGTCCGTTTTTTTAGTGCTGTGCCGAGATTATTAAAATTCATTTCTAATACGATTTAGGACAACATTTTCTATCATATAACGAAATTCCAGTGATTGTTACAAATTATATTATAAGATCGAAAAGATCTTACTATTAGACTATAAATCCAAACGAACAAAGCCACGTCCTTTCTCGTCCAATGTTTTTCAAAATGGCGGCCGCCTGTCAGCGTTCCATATAAACGATGATGATTATATGCATTGACTTACAATTATATGGACGTCGGGTCCGCGCTAAAAAGTGTCCGCACTTGTAAGGCGCTAAAATCGTATACAGAGCGCCATTCTCCGCTTTAGTCTTCATTTGTTCTACTGACAGCGCGATACTGCGATGACATTACAATTTAAATTTCGAATAGGTTGACTTGGGACATTTTTTTCGTGGTTTTTGTATTAGACCCGTCGTCCATTTATTTGTAAGTCAATGATTATATGGGTTTATTTCTTATTTCGATAAAACTAATTCTTAATGACGCAAAGTTTTTTTAACAAGTGTCAATTATTGGGTATTAATTATTGTGAGTGTCGATTACTGATTTGTTAGTCGATTTTTGGTATTCACTGCTGGAGATTTAGAGAGATTCTAGTTTAGGTTATCTTCACACTTAGAATAATAACGCATAGAATGATAGTTTCATAACAAACGAACTGTTACAAGTGAGGCAAAAATCAAATTCATGTAGGCTAGTTTTAGTAGTAGGTTAATTTTCGGTTTTAGTGAATATTTATATAAAATACAAGTTGAAACGCGTTACTTCCTAGTGAAATGTGATGTTAGTATATATTTCATGTTTGTCTGACGTATTTTTACACTCATTTACCGCACATTTCGTCATTTTTAATTTTAAAATTCTTGATCTGTTCGCGGTGCAAGTTGACCTTGAGCACTGACGGCCCGCCCGCTCGTGTAGGCCCTTTGGGAGCGCTGCAATTTGCCTCACTTAGCGTGTGCGGGCTAGGTTTCTATGCGTTATTATTCTAAGTCTTCACATTACAGTATTAATCTTTCTTGAGCATTACATCTGTCAAGTAAACTAATCATATTGACTTTTTGACATATGTTTAAAAACAACAAAAAAGTTATTTCAAATAGAATTATTATCATTTAATATAATTATTTCAAAAAGACAAATCTCCTAATAAGTTGATCATTGGTGCCATCACCTTAGCTGGTTAATGACTTTACTATCTCAGTGAGCCGTGACTGTAAAGGGTCCGACGTTGGTTTGTTTGAAATTATAAAAAAAATAGATTGATAAATGATTTCTTTATTTTATTTCCTTTATTATACTATTATTTAATAATAAATAGACGCCTTATTAATAAATTACACTTAATAATTAAAGCAAACATCATATACCTATATCAAATCGCACAAGAGTAAACGAAATTTAATTTCAATGTCTCTTTTTTATCAGTAAGAGACGCCTGAGCGCTGATGCAACGTTGTAGTACATAATAAATTAGAATGACATGTCACACGGGGCGTTGATACGGCGCGAGCTGACGGAACGCGTGCGCATAGAACAAGGAGCCGGGAGACGAGGCTGGGCCGGGTGCAGCAGCGTTAAGGTAGATTCACAATGCACCAATTCTGGCAATATATTGCCGCAATTTATCGCGTTGCTCGTGTTGCATTCAGTGCGTTGAAATTATAGCGTCGCACAATGCCGACAGCAACGCAACGCCCGTGTGGCATAGCTTTTAGGACGCGTTCTAATTACACGCTTGTAGAAGAGCTGCAGTGGCACCACCGTGAGATAAAGGCGGACCGAGCTCAAGTATGCAGAACTCTGCGTACTGTTGGCACACGTGCCATGCAAACTAAGCACTTCTACCGTATTTATTGTTCTGTGCACTGGAGCATTGTAGTTTAGTTGAGGTTGTTTTGTATCTGCGTACAATCGTCATAAACATATTGGCTTCGCCCAAAAGTCCGTGCGGTATAAATTCAAAATTTAATCAATTATGTATTGGCCATGTTCATCTAAAATCTTATTTCGGCGAATAAGGTGAATGAGGTAACACATCCCAACTTAACTGTGGGTTGGTTTGGCATTATAAATAAAAGCTAAAACTTTCTCACCTGTTCTTAAAATACGCGCTAAATATAATTTTCAAAATGACTATAGACAATATAGCACTTTAAAAGAAAAAACCTTTTTCACCTCACTAGTTCGGAAAGGCTTTCTATCTCTTTAGAAATTGCACGCAAAAGCATTTCTTGCACGCTAGCGTGGAAGAGGTTTATGGAATTCGAACTTGACGATGGACATGGAAGTTAGGTGCACCACAGTGCACATCAAATAACTATTTTTGTTTAAAGTTACCTAGCTAATGGCAAAAGCCGCATGGATTTTTAGGCCAACCCATTAGATGCTAGAACAAAATTGTAATAAGTTAGTAACACAAGTAAACAAACAATATTGTTCTTATTAAATACATAAATTCACAGCTGTTTTATACGTATACATTGATTACAAAGGTATTATAAAACAATTTAAGGGAAAAATGTGTATTAAATAATTATTACTAAAAGTGTCATGGCCACTACAATAGTTTAACTTTTAATTAGAGGTTTTTAGTTCAGTACGAACTAGGAATTGTCTGCGTTGATAATTCACCTATGGGCCTCATAAGAAGGCTCAAGGTCACTCAGCGGGCAATGGAGAGAGCGATACTCGGTATGTCCCTAAGTGATAGAATCAGAAATGAGGAAATCCGTAGGAGAACTAAGGTAACCGACATAGCTCGAAAAATTGGTCAGCTGAAGTGGCAGTGGGCGGGGCACATAGCTAGGAGAACCGATGGCCGTTGGGGCGGGAAGGTTCTTCAATGGCGACCTCGCACCGGACGACGCTCAGTGAGTAGGCCCCCCATCAGGTGGACCGACGGTCTGGTAAGGGTCGCGGGAAGCCGATGGATGCGGGCAGCGCAGGACCGATCATCGTGGAGATCATTTGGGGAGGCCTATGCCCAGCAGTGGGCGTCGTATGGTTGAATGATGATGATAGTTCACCTATCATTTATTCTGTAGGAACTGTGCGAGCGGGACAATTATCGATCGTTCATTGCTTTTAGCAATACACGTACACAAGTTCGAGTGAGATGCACGATTGAACGTTGCCAGCTTGTTTTAAGCCTCTAATACGTATCTACATTACGTGTATATGTAAGTTTGTAAAAAAAAGATTTAAAAAAATATTTTATCTACACACATCATAAACCCTTTTGATGTGTTCAAAAACCGCAAATTACGACCAGCATAAAGATAAATTGTTTTGTTACAACAAACTTCTTATTGGTGAAAATGTTTTATTTTTTTATCACTGTTTTTATTTCATCTAAAGATTAGCAACCCACTAAATGTCTGTTTTTATTTATTAACAACTCATAAGGCCCCAATGCTGGGTAAAGGTCTTCCCTCAAATGTCAGTTTATTACCTCTAATTAAAATCCGGCAATACATTGTAATTAAAAATTTGCAAATGCAAATATATTTAAGTAATTACTTTTAAATACTTGTACCTTTCTATTGGTTGTACTTTTCAATTGGTTGTACCTTTCTATTGGCTGTACTTTTCTATTGGTTGTACCTTTTATACGTAAAAAATTGTTTTAATTATAGTGTAGCCAATCGCAATCGGTTCAAATATTTCTGTACCTAAACATGTACACGTAGGTACCTGTATACCTAAGTTTGAAAGTAAATTAATCGTATAAAGTATTACATAGGTACTCGCGTGTGTAATTTGTATAATAAACCTTTATATTAATAATACATTGTCTGATCTTGCTAACTCATGAACACAATTATACAGTCCATTACAAATAAGTTCAAAAGAACTATAAAAACTCACAATCATGAATTGTACTTGTTTTTGGCGCTTTTATGACAAATCAAGTTTATCATGAATACATCTATGGCGTTTCAGCCCGCTATTTTGTGAAAACAGACTGTCACAAATATTGCACGCGTAAGGTTTCTCGTGTGTGTGCACGCGCATGTGTATTCTTAAGTTGCCTATTATAGAAAACTGTTTTTGGCATACATGACAGACGTACGGCCGTTCATCAGAATGTACCCGCATATGTTTCGACAGATTACCGATCTGTTTATTACAAACTTTGCACGTGTATGGTTTTATACCCGTATGCACGCGAGCGTGACGCTTCAATTGCCCGGTTTCTCTAAAGGTTTTTTTGCAAACATCACACGAAAAAGGTTTCTCATTTGTGTGTATACGCATATGTATTCTTAAGTAGCCGCTGTCGGAGAAAGGTTTTTTGCAAATTTTGCACGGGTAAGGTTTCTCACCAGTGTGCGTTCGTTCGTGGAGTTTGAAACTCGCCATTTGCGCGAATTGTCTGTTACAGAAACTGCACGTATAAGGTTTTAAACCTGTGTGCACGCGCATGTGAACTTTCAAAGTCGTCTGAGCAGTAAATTCTTTTTGACACACATTGCACATGTAAGGTTTCTGCCCTGTGTGCTGCCGTTGGTGTATGGACAAGTAACTTTTACTTGAAAATTGTTTTTGGCATATACTACACGAATAGGGTTTTAAATTACCATGAATTACTATTATATGCCTTTTCAAATGGCTTCTTTGTGGGAAACCCCGGCCACAAACATCACATATAAATGGCCTCTCACCCGTATGAGTCAATATATGTGTTTTCAAAGTCTGATTATGCCCGAAAGCTTTTGAACATATGTCGCATTTGAATTTCTTCTCTTTCGTATGAGTTTTTAAATGTTCCTTCAAACCTTTTTTACGTGTAAAGCCTTTTTGGCAGTAGTTACATGGAAAGTTCTGTTTGAAGTGACTCTTTAAGTGCGTCTTCAACATTCTAGGTTTCTCAAATATCTCCGTGCAGAATTTGCAAGGGTACTTGTCATTTTCTTTGTGTTTTAATTGTATGTGTTTGGTGACTTCTTGATTTGTGCTGAATTTTGTTTGACATAGGTGACAGATGCAGGTTTTCTCGCCTGTGTGTATTTTCATATGGTATTCTAGAGAGCCGTTATATGAAAATTGTTTCTGACAATAGTCACATGAGAATTTCTTTCCGGTGTTGCTTGATTTTTGTTTATCTGCTTCGCTGCCGGATTTTGATATTTCTCCTTCGTCTGTAAAGAAAAAGAGAATGTATAGATCAGTAACACACAGGTTATAAAAGCTTAGACATTCGTACAGTGAAACGAGCTACAAAAAACAGTATATTTTAATTTCGGTAGGGCTGTACAATACGAACACTCGAATTTAACGGTGGAGGGGGACCCCCTTAGCTCCCTTGTGAGCGAGGAGTTACGGAACCTCCCCCCCTTTCCGAGATTTAAGAGAACGATTATGCGGTTTTGCTAGGTTTTTATAACTTAAAAATAAGTTTGGAAACGCAAAACAAATCCGCTTCTGGCACTCGCCGGCCGCTTCCGTGACACGCTCGCTTCGCTCGCTCGGCTCGTGTAGCTTTTTCATACACTAACCTAACCTATTAAATGGGGGACGCAACCAAGATTTGACCTATGTAAAATACATTTGTTTTCTTGATGTCAAATGTATATAAATTACTTATTGATTTAAGGTTTTTAATTAAATATTGCCATAAATTTAAAAAATTAGCCGAGACTATCAAACGTCGTGCGTTCCTAACCTACAAAATTGTTTCCTGTCATTCATTTTCGAATATTTCAATAATTTTTATTATCAAAATTACGAGTTTCCGTAAGTAAATATTTTAGGACTAGATTACTAACTATGTAATCTATTCACCATATTAATTTCAACTCTCAACTCGAATGTAGCTGCTATACAGTTGAAACTTTTTCGTCTGTCTAATTTTGAAAAGTATAATAAAAAATCTCGCAGAAATAGATTACTAGCATCATAAACAACACTTGTTCCATGATTTTACAAAACGATACATCCAATGAACACTACGTCAACTTTTTTGGTCATGGTCTGTTAGGTTTACAGCCATAATTATTTACTAATATTATGCTCCCCGAATTTTATGAAAAAAAAAAAGAAACAAAAAACAAAATTCGAAAAAAACACAAATTTCGTGAAAAAAAAAGGAAACAAAATAACAATAGAACAGGGCCAAGAATGAAGTTGGCGGTATCGAAAATAGTTAATCTTTAAAATTTTTATTAGGACTTATGGTACAGGTTTACTTGATTCTGACGCTTCATGTTCAGTTCTTGGCAATAACTCTCGTACTTTGAAAACTACCAATCCTAGCCTCCGCGAACATCCCTGACATTACAGTGTCGATGCAGCCCCAGCAGTCCCCTGAGGGCGTTGTTGAATTGGATAACGCCCTCTGTGGACTGCTTTTAGGACTTTGGCTTTTTTAGTGTAGGTAATTGCTCCACAGCTTGCACGTGTAATAGGGTCTGGCAATATAATGAATGTAGCATACATTTCCCAGCAAAATTAGCACTGAAGTTTGAAAAATGTGTGATTTCTGAAAAGTATTCTCCTAAAGTGATTGGTTTAAAGTTTTTGACAGGAAAACATCTTCGCCGATGGCATATAAAAGATATAGTGCGACCAGGTGATTCTATATCTTAGTGAAGTGCCTCGAAGTCATCTGTCGTGTTGCTTTTACTTAGTAGAATATTTACAAATAAATAAAAGTCCATAAAATACTTATAAAAACTATTTTTATTATAAACAAACAGTCAAATGTGATCACAAATTCACTCTATCATCAGAAATAATTACTAAATAAGTATTCTGTTCTATTTCTTTTTACATAGTAATAAATATGCTATTACTTAAGCGTTGGAGCACTTCGTCCGATTCATATCAGTTCGAATCCGAGAAATGGCGGTCCGAAATGTCACAGGGATCATTTTATCTCTAGGTGTACAAGCGATATTTGTATTTTCTCGGATTGCAATCCGTCCGACTTTTCTAGATTTGTATACTCTCGAATTCGGAACGGACGCAGTGTGGAAATGCGCTTACTTTGTGACCTATATATCTAAAAAAAAAACTTACTTCTAATTCTAATCTTATCAGAAACATTGACATAGTGTTAATCTGAACTGTATATAGTAAATAAGTTTACATATAGGTACTTACTAATTTAATTCCTTAAAAGAATATGTATCAGTAATATAGCCACGGGTAAAATGTTTTTGTTTTTTTTTGTGTAGTTTCTTAAGTGCCGCTTATGTTATAAAATATTGTAGTGTATATTTTTGGGTGTGGTAAAATGTTGTTTTAAAATCTATATATTTTGTTACTATGTTATGTTGATGTACTTATATGTTCATTTTTTTAAATGTATGTTTATTGTAGTGGCGTTAATTCTGCTTCATAGTGGCCACAACATATTAGCGCCGGTCTGTTTTTTGTATATTGTATATTTAGTTCTTTGTATATTTAGTTTATTTTCTTTTTTGTAACGAGACCTAATAAATAGATTTTCTTTCTTCTTTCGTTCTTTCTAATTTTGTTTCTTATAAACTAAAACTAGACCCTAGGTCGTCTCCCTGGTAACAATAATTTTAGGGTATATTGGAGACAGCTAAAGGAAGCGCTGGTATAAAATCTCCAACTAATACTGCGGATTGTTGAAGTAGAAAAATAAAAACGGAAAAAATAAAATCTAATAACTTCGTAATGAATTAACCTATGTCGTTGCCGATTAGTTTAAAATGTGTGTCATTTATGGTTTTATCGAACGACAAAGTTGATTGGTTATGAATTTTTTTATATTTATCCGGACGGAAATAACCACATTTTCAAAAAAAAGTTTTCTCTGAAGCTACACATTTTTGTCATACCGGTGTTCTACTCTGGCATTTGTACGAGTATTAGTTCAAACTATAGCTATCTGGAAGAAAAAGGACATGTCACAAAATTGGGGTTTCTAAAAAGCAAGTATTTAAATGACCATTTTAAATTTGCAAAAGCAGCAGGCAAAAAACTAAACTGTCATCTTTTTGAATGATTGATCGTCTCTCTCTGAGACAAAATAAATTAAATCAAAGGATATTTTCATCTGTTCTGAGCTACGCAAAAAAATGTTCGATTTTTATAAATTAACATTGATAGTTTTCTATTGGAAAACTAAAGCCGGATTTACATTTGTCTGACGTGTCGTGTCGGGACGCGTCAGAGCGGTATAGGCTTTATACATTTAATATGGTAAGATTTATATTAGTCTGTCGCAATCTGACGTGACGGCTTGTGTAGTGTGGCATTAGAAGCGATCCCGACCTAAGTCAGGACTTGGCGGAGCGACCGCGTCACGTCAGATCAGACGTGTGCACGCGCCAGTGCTGTGTTGTTACGTGTCAGAGCCGAATAGTGCCTTTTCCTTACTTTTTTTTTAGTACAGTTGCTATCATCACAAATTAAATATATTCTTCATAATCTGAATCAGAATCGGTTAATTCAAGAGGAAATATAGAGAACGTATGAACTCTCCGAGAGCACCGACGGTATTGATTCAAAATATCGTCAGAAGGCGTCAGAATACTACATATACTAAATATGAAAGCTACCCATGACGTCAGGGCGCATCACGATCCATCACGTCAGACAGATACAAACGCGGCTTAAGACAAATGAGCATAAAAATAAATTTTAGGTACTTATTTTTAAACGTATATTATATTACTTATAATATAATTTGAACTGAAAGGAAACATGTTCGGAAACGCACGCGAATTGGATTCTGACACTCGCCGGCCGCTGCCGCGACACGCTCGTTTCGTTCGCTCGGCTCGTGCTGCTTTTTCATATACAAACCTAACTTAACGTACTGAAAGGAGGGTGCAACCAAGCAACCAAGATTTATTAGATCAATATCAAAAGATATATTGGTTATAAATGTCATCAATCGTTAATAGAAAATACCAATAATAAAAAAGGAGGATCAAATATTATTTTTTAACACCAAATATTAATTTAGTGTGCCTAAACATAATAATAGTGATCTTGACAGCAGTTCATTTATAACTTATCGGTATATCAAACATAAAAAAATATCGTTCATTTAAAAAAGTGCACATTTGCAAGGATCAAATAATATTATCCCTTTATAAAACACTGTGCGTGGAAATGTCACAACTGTGGATCCAAGTTTCCATGTCTTATTACTCCTTTTTTGTCCCCACGGCAATCAGGAGATATGGACCCACCACCTATGCTCAATTTCGACAGTGCTGTGTGAACCGTTCTTTCTCCAACAGAAAGCGTGTTAAGAAACTGTGCGTAATCAACGACTATTCAGTATACCCATTTCAAAAAACAATGTATCACAAAATAATCCTCTATATAGGATGTGTGGGTATTATAATGAAATATGTACTAATTGTAATATCTTTAACTGCAGTGTCCCAGCATTTAAGAGGTCACTGCTAGCATTAATGTAAAGTGAATAGCATATTCTCATTCTCTCTATTTTTTATTTCTCTCGATTTTTCTTTTTTTT